GCCCTGCAGAGCCGGGCCGGGCTGCGCCGGCTGGGCCGCGGGACCGGCTGCCCTGGGCCAAGCGGCGCCCGGCCCGGCCCGGCCGTTACGCTGCCCGGGCGCCGCTCTGCCTTCCCCCTTGCACTGGTCCCCAATGCCCCGCGCTGCTCTGCCTTCCCCCCTGCATCGCCCCATGCTGCTCTGCCTACCCCTTGCACTGCCCTTCATCTCCCCAGGCACTGCCCCTGCCCTGCCCCTGCCCTGCTCTTCCCCGGGCATTGCCCCTGCCTTTCCTCCGCCTTGTCCCAGCTATGACCCCGTGCACTTCCCCGTGCACTGCCTGTGCATTGCCCCTGCCCCACATTCGTCCAGGGTCACTCGTGCACCCACTTGGCTGTGCCTGCTCCTGCCAGCACTGTGCACCCCCTCAGCTCTCCCCCAGCCTTGTGCACCCCAATGCCAGCAGGATAGGGCACAGCCGGGCACGGCACAGAGCTGATCCTGGCACAGTACCCAGCACTGCTGCCACATCTTTCCTCAGCCGCGGCCAGGGCCTTGCCACGGGGCAACCACAGCGTGATGGACCGCAGCACCGGGGCGCTGTGCCTCACGCTCCCAGCCTGCCCTCCACGGCGTGCACGTGTCACACATCTGTCCCCATGCACGCTTGTGCTGCTGAGGTGCAGAGCTGGCCCGGGGCGGCCTGCCCCTCTTGCTGTGAGCGCCCCCGCATCGTTTGTCTGTRCCTCGTGCCACGAGTCCCCATCTGCAGCCATGCCCGACAGCCCCTCTTCTCTCCACAGCCAGGAYCCGGCCAGGATGGCGGTGCTGGGCAGCTACTGCGAGGGCAACAGCTCCATCGCGCAGGCCTGGGTGCAGCAGGGCTTCCAGCCGTGCTTCTTCTTCACGCTGGTGCCCGCCGTGCTGCTGAGCGTGTGCCTGCTGCTGGGCGCGCTGCAGTCCGCGTGCTACGCGCGCTGCGGCCGCGCCATGGAGCCCAAGTACATCCCCCGCTCGCGCCTCTACCGCGGCCAGGTGCTGCTGTCGCTGCTGCTGGCCCTGCAGCCCCTGGGCGGGCTGCTCTGGCAGCTGGGCGGCCCGGGACGGCTCTACGGCTACATGGTGCTGCACGCCGGCCTCTGGGCGCTCAGCTGGGCCGCCGCCGTGGCCCTGCTGCAGCTGGAGCACACGCGGGTGCTGGTGCGTGACCGGACGCGGGGCCACGGCACCGTCCTGCTGCTCTTCTGGGCGCTGGCCTTCGCGGCCGAGAACCTCGCCTTGGTGTCCTGGAGGAGCCCGCTGTGGTGGTGGGCGCTGGAGGACACCAACCAGAAGGTGGGTTGGAGGCTGCAATGGTGGTGGCGGGAGGGTCGGGTGCTGGGGCCCGCTGTGCCCAGGGGCTTTATAGGTCTCTGGCAGGTTGCACCCATGTGTCCCATTGCACATCTTGGCCCCAGCATATGGTGGTGAAGGGATGTTCACTCACATGGGGTGACCATGCTCGCCCAGGTGGTCTGACCAAGCTGAGCAGAGGTCCCCATGTCTTGCTGCAGGTGCAGTTCAGCCTGTGGCTGCTGCGTTACATCTGCACCTTCACGCTCTTTGTCCTGGGCATGAAGGCGCCCGGGCTGCCCCGCAAGCCCTACATGCTGCTGGTGAATGAGGAGGAGCGCGATGTGGAGAACACGCAGGTGAGGAGCCCTGGGGCACTGCTGGGTGCAAGGCAACACAGAGACATGGGGGCTTCCGCACAAGCTCAGGCTTTGGCCTCTGCCTTTAAGGCTGCACAGCCTCCTTGCTGGGCCGGGGTCCCCAGCAGTGACCGTCTGCTGGGCTCTCCCTCAGCCTCTGCTGCCGGAGGCCGGCAGGACCACGTCCACGTGGAAGGATTTCCGGAGGAAGCTGCGGCTGCTGGTGCAGTACATGTGGCCGAGGGGCAACCGGCTGCTGCAGGGGCTGGTGCTCTTCTGCATGGCGCTCATGGGGCTCGAACGGGCCATCAACGTCTTCGTGCCCATCTACTACAAGAACATCGGTGAGGCGCGGGGCTGGCCGTCCTGCACGGACATCTGTCCCAGCAGTGGGGCGGGCAGGGAGGGCCGAGATTGGCTGCTGGCTCCTCACAGGGGACCCCCATCCTTGTGCCATGCCCTGGCACTGGCATATGCAGCAAAGGGGCTTGCAGGTAGATGCCGAGTCCAGGCAGTGTGTGCAACTGCAGCCTCACCACATGCTGAGGGACACCCTAAAAGTGACTTGGGAGGGTGCAAAGACATGGCAGGGGCCAGTGCTGGGGCTGGTCCCCATGCAGGCCCTGTGTGGGGCACTCGGCGATGCTCCCTGTGCCTCCACCCTAACCTGTGCCACCCTGTCCCCAGTGAACGAGCTCACGGGCGGTGCTCCCTGGCACACCCTGGCCTGGACCGTCTGCATCTACGTGGCGTTGAAGTTCCTGCAGGGTGGAGGTGCTGGTAAGGACCACCAGGACGTCTGGGCGCTGGGGACACCCCAGGGCAGGTGGTGATGCTCGTGGTCCCCAAGTCAGCGCTTGCAACTRGGGCTGGCTCCCAGGCTGGTGGCAGAGGGGTGGATTTGTCCTGCATCTCTAGCCCCGCTGGGGTTTGTGAGGTGCCCACATGCCCCCCTGAGGGATCAGGGGAGGAGGGAAGTGTTTGTCCCGTTTGTCCCGCCTTGTTGACTGTGCCCTGCCGCCGCACAGGCGCCACCGGCTTCCTGAGCAACCTGCGCACGTTCCTGTGGGTCTGGGTGCAGCAGTTCACCAACCGGCAGGTGCAGGTGCAGCTCTTCGCCCACCTGCACGGCCTGTCGCTGCGCTGGCACCTGGGCCGCCGCACGGGCGAGGTGCTGCGCAGCGTGGACCGCGGCACCAGCAGCATCAACAGCCTGCTCAGGTCCGCGCGCGCCCGCGGCGCGGAGGGTCGCCCCGCGCCGCCGCCCCGCTGCAACTCGCCCCTTGCCCCCTCAGCTACGTCGTCTTCAGCATCGTCCCCACCATTGCAGACATCGTGATCGGCATCATCTATTTCACCTCGGCCTTCAGCGCCTGGTTCGGCCTCATCATCTTCATGTGCATGAGCCTGTACTTGAGTGAGTGGCGGGCTCCGGGAGCGGGGTGCCCGCGCTGGGCTGGGGCACAGCGCAGGCCGACGCGGCCCCTCCTGCCTGCAGCTCTCACCATCCTCATCACGGAGTGGAGGACCAAGTACCGGCGGGACATGAACACGCGGGACAACGAGGCCAAGTCCCGGGCCGTGGACTCGCTGCTCAACTTTGAGACGGTAGCGGCGGAGGGGCGCGGGGTGGGCGCAGGGTGGGCGCCCGGGCTGGGTGCTCACCCTGCTGCTGTGTGCTGCAGGTCAAGTACTACAACGCCGAGAGCTACGAGGTGAACCGCTTCAATGAGGCCATCCGCAAGTACCAGGTGTGGGGCTCAGCACCCACGTGGGGGRCTCTGGGGGGACCGGGGAGCCTCGYGGGTGTCCGCGGGGAAGGCGCTCGCCGCAGCTCTGCTGGGAAGGACCTTGCYTTTTCCAGGTCTCCGAGTGGAAAGTTAGCGCCTCGCTGGGCCTCCTCAACCAAACGCAGAACCTGGTCATCGGCCTGGGGCTGCTGGCGGGGTCCCTGCTCTGTGCCTACTTTGTCACGGAGCACAAGCTGCAGGTGAGGCTGGTGCTGGCCTGGGCAGTGCCCTGCCAGTCGTAGGGCTCTGGTGCTGGCAGTKATGGCCCCTCTCGTGCGTCCCTGCCAGGTGGGAGACTTTGTCCTCTTCGGCACCTACATCATCCAGCTCTACACACCGCTCAACTGGTTTGGGACTTACTACAGGTAAGGCTGGGAGCAGCGAGACTTTGGGGATGCCTGGGGTCCYCCACGGCCAGCCCTGCCCCATCTCTATGAGCATATGGTCTCGCAGACCCTTCCCTCTCATGTTCACCATGTTCCAGGATGATCCAGACCTCCTTCATTGACATGGAGAACATGTTTGAGCTCTTCAATGAGGAGCAGGAGGTGGGTGTGATGCAGGGTACCCCCATGCTCGGTCCCCCCCCCCCAGTTCACCTCTGTGCACTCCTCAGCATGTGTCCCCTTGGGCCCTGCATCCCCCTCCCCACCTCATCCCCTGGGAAGCAGCCAGCCTGCAGACGTGTCCCAGGACCCTGCTGTCCCCCAGCCCCTGCCCCGTCCAGACCCCCTTCCCTGGCACAGTCCTGGGCTCCTGCCCCGGGAATGGGCTGCTCTGAGGCTGCATCTCTGCCCGCGGCAGGTGAAGGATGCGGTCAACGCTGGGGATCTGCGCTTGGAGGCCGGGCGCATCGAGTTTGAGAACGTGCACTTCAGCTACGTGGAGGGGTAGGGGCGGCCGCATGGCGGGTGGGCAGGAGGGCCTGGGCTGGGYGACGGGGCCTGGCACAGGCAGCCGGCCCCCTCCCTGCCTCCCTTCTCCAGGAAGGAGATCCTGCATGACGTCTCCTTCTCYGTGATGCCTGGGCAGACCTTGGCCCTGGTGAGAGCGGCACTGGGTTCAGAGCTGGAGGGAGTGGGGCTGGGAAGCGGGACTGCCCTATAGCGGCCCGGGGGCTTGGTGCCGCAGGCTCCCTGGGGACTCCAAGGTGTCTTTCGTTCGTGCAGGTGGGGCCTTCGGGCTCAGGGAAGAGCACCATCATCCGCCTGCTGTTCCGCTTCTACGACGTGTGGGGCGGCTGCATCCGCATCGACGGGCAGGACATCTCCCAGGTGAGAGACGGGGGCTCCTGGCGCAGGGCCGGGGCAGCTGCTCCGGGCACCCTGGCGAGGGGCCCAGTGTCCCCCGGGCAGAGGGGAGGCAGGCAGACACGGCCGCCTCGGTGGCCGCGAACCAGGGGCATGTGGCAAACGGGCAGCGGCGGTGGCTGCACCGCAGTGCCACGTAGCAAACGGGCAGTGGCGGTGGCTGCGCCGCGGTGCCACGTAGCAAACGGGCAGCGGCGGTGGCTGCGCCGCRGTGCCACGTAGCAAACGGGCAGCGGCGGTGGCTGCGCCGCGGTGCCGCCCGGCTCCGCTGGCGCTGGGCATTGCGGGCAGGGCCGGCCGGGTTTGGGAGTCCTGCTCAGCCCTCGCCGGTGCCTGCAGGTGAAGCAGGCGTCGCTGCGCGCCCACATYGGCGTGGTGCCCCAGGACACGGTCCTCTTCAACGACACCATCTCCAACAACATCCGCTACGGACGGGTCTCAGCCACCGATGAGGAGGTGCAGGAGGCAGCGCGGGCTGCTGACATCCACGACCGCATCCTCTCCTTCCCCGATGGTGAGACCTGTGGGGCCCCCTCCGTGTCCCCCCTGCGGGATCCCTGGTGGCAGCGGCTCTCCTTGGCAATGCTGCGCCTTGCTCGTGCCCTCAGCGCTGCCCGCCCAGGGCTGCAGCAGCTGCAGGGCAGAGCGCAGCCCCGGCGCGGCCCTGCTCGGGGGCACCGCTGCAGCGCCTTGCTGCCCCCGTGCCCGCAGGATACAGCACCCAGGTGGGGGAGCGGGGGCTCAAGCTGAGCGGGGGCGAGAAGCAGCGCGTGGCCATCGCGCGCACCATCCTGAAGGGGCCCCGCATCATCCTGCTGGACGAGGTGAGGCAACGACCCCGCGCCGCCTGGCCCCGCGCCGCGGCAGCCCCCGGCCCTGCTGCAGCCCCCCGTACGGCGCCTCACGCCGCCCCGTGCTCTGCCCAGGCCACGTCCGCGCTCGACACGGAGACCGAGCGGAACATCCAGGCCTCCCTAGCCAAGGTCTGCGCCCACCGCACCAGCATCGTYGTGGCACACAGGTGGGGACGCGGGGAGAAACGGGGGCAGTGGCCGGCTGGGAGCGGGCAGGAGCTGGGAAGGACAGGGGGTGCAGGAAGGCAGTTGAGTGGTGCCCCTGCCCTGCCGTTCCCTGCAGGCTCTCCACGGTGGTGGGCGCAGACCAGATCCTGGTGCTCAAGGAGGGCCGCGTGGTGGAGCGAGGCAGGTGAGTGCCGCAAGGGCYGGGCCGCTCGCGCCGACCCGGGGCCCACGTTGCGCCAGGGCCCACRCCGACCCGCTCTACCCGCTCTGCCCACAGGCACGAGGAGCTGCTGCAGAAGGGGGGTGTCTACGCCAGCATGTGGCTGCAGCAGCAGGCCGGCGAGGACGGCGACGGCAAGGAGTGCGGCACCGAGAAGGCCCCGGGCAGCAGCAAGGGGCAGTGAGCGCGGCCGGGCGCTCTGCTGTGACACTGAACCAGGACCCGGCGCCCGCGGGGCTGCAGACTGTTTGCTGGGAGCTGCGGGGACTGGGCCGGACACTCCGCTGCGGTTGTACCCGTGTGTTTTGCTGTGTGTAGTTCCTTAAACCAGGTCCTCCCCAGCTCCGCTGCTGTGTGCTCCGGGCAGGCGYGCGGGTGCGGCAAGGCTGGCGTGCTTGGGTTGGTTGTGGCCCCCAGCCCACGTGGCAGTGCCCGCTGCCCCCCGAGGTGGCCGCGAGGCAGGAGCAGCTCCCCACAGGGCGAGTGCAGGGCCAGGGGCTGCAGAGGAAGCCAGCGGGAGCACAGCCGGGCCCTGCTCATCCCGGTGCATTCCCAAGCCCGATGTGTTCCCAGGCCTGCCTTCCCTCCGTGTTGCACCTCCCTGTGCCCCCATCCGCCCGGCCACGGCCCACCAACCCCAGACAGGAGCAAGGGACAGCTCCGGGAATGCTGCCACCCTCCAGCTCTCTCCAACCGACTCGGCTCTCTCCTAGAGGTTTATTTCCCCCCCCAAGCAGCATTTTGACAATTCCAGCATTCCCTCATCCCACACCAGCGGGGCACGGGAGGCACCCCCAGCAGAAAGCCACCGCTAGGAGCAGGAAAGCAGAGCCTGGCCCTGTGCAGGACCCTGCACAGCCACCCACGTAGGAGCAGTTCCAGCAGGGAGGCACGAGCGCTATGGAGCAAGCTGCACCATCCTGCTCTACTGCACAGCCTGGGGCCAGCTCCTGTCCCCGAGCACTAGAGGTGGCTCCAAGCTCGGGGCTGCCTGTGTGGAGAGCTGTGCAGCCCTTCCCAACGAGGGAATTATTTGGGATTCTGGCAGGGAGTTTCCTGCCCAGCAGCACCACTACAGCACACAGATAGGGTCCAGTGGGTGCCTGCCCCAGGCACAAGCAGCCCCTGAGAGCACACGAGGCCCCAGGGATGCTTCAGCATGAGGAACACGGCAGCAGCGCCCACCCCACACAAGTGACACTGGCACAGACAAGTCACCGCTGAAGCTGCATTTCAGTTAACAGTCCTTGTGAAGCTAAACCAGAAGGGAAAGGTGCCTCCGTTCCGTGCGAGCGCTCCTGGCTCTGGCAGGTGTGGTGTCCCAAGCGGAGCTGGGTAAGGCCCCGGGTGCTCTTGTGCATGCAGGCGGCAGGGGAGGCACCGCGGACGYGGCAGCAGGGCAGGGCACATGCAGCTGCACCAGGCCTGTGGCGAGGGACCTTCCAGCAGCGTGTGCAGCCTGCTGGGACGGGGGCTGCTCCCTCCCTGGAGCATGAAATCCAGGCTGCAGCCATGTCCCAGCTGCACGTCCAAGCACACAGAGGTGGTCCCATGGAGCTGCTCCCCTCCGGGCTGGCTGTGCTGCGCCTGGGCACACACAGTCTCCTCCTGCACCGATTGCTACAGAGCTGCACTGTCAGGGTGTGTTTGGTCATTTGCTTACAGCCCCCAGGGAGACGGTCTGTCCCTGGCGAAATGCTCTTGTTATCACTGTCCAGGCCAGAACCCCACAGCATCCAGCTGGGAGGTCCCGGCCGTTCCTTGGATCCCAAACAGGCTCCCACATCCGCTGGCACTCCCGGCCCTGCAGGCCTAGGACATGCTGCAGTTTGATGGCTTTGAGCCGTGCGCCTGGAGCGGGAAGAAGCGCACAGTGAGCAAGGGAGGACCGGCCCTGTCCCACCAGGGACACGGGCAGGGCAAGGGGCAGGCACGTGCTGGGCGCAGGCACCCGGGGCTGTGTGCTCAGCACTGGCAGGGCCACTGCCCCACGACAGGCTGCCCTGGACAGGACAGGCTGCCCGRACGGAGGAGAGAGGAAGCGGAGCCTAGAGGGGGCCCCACGGCGGCAGAGCCAGGCTCAGCCCAGGCCTGCCGTGCTGCGGCCTCGCAGGCAGTGCCCTCACCTGCCGCTGCAGCTGCTGGTACTCGGCTTCGCTCGCTGACAGCGCCTGCGCCAGGGCCAGATCCTCCTCCTCCTGCGTGCTGCGGGGGACAGCGGGGCCCTCAGACCTGCCCCACAGCCACCAGCTCCCGCGCCCAGGGCCCCTTGGGCCGACTGGCATGCTGACCACTGCAACCCTCCAGAACAGCTAAGGGCAGGGAGCAAGAGAGCCCTAAACAGGGCCAGGGCTTCGGGGACGGAACAAAGGATCCTGCTGGGACTGGCACCCCGCACCAAGGAAGGACATGTTCTCCTTGCCTTTAGCTCCAGGCTGCAAGAGCGTGCTTTCAGCAGCACCAGGAAGGATCCTGGGCCTCCCCTGAGAGCTCCCCTATTCCTGAGGCTCTGACAGGCTGCAGCCAAGCTCGCAGGCTGACAAGTGGCCAGACAACAGCCTGCCCTGCTCTGTGCCGCCACTGTCCCTCCCAGCTCGCTGCAGCGCTTGCTCCCTGAACAGAGCCCTGTGCTGCCTCGGACCTCCCCTTTCTCCCTGTCAGCGCGGCAGCAGCAGCATCTAGCCACGTGCTGAGAAACGTCACCCCAAGGCCACATGACTCGGCCCCGGGCCCTCTCGCACGCAGGCTCAGGACGTGTRTGTGGGCTGTACCTGGGCGGCTGCGCAGAGCCGAGCGCCGAGTCTGCCAGGGACATCTCCAGAGCTCGCTGCAGCGCCTCCTCCTCGCTCTGAAACACAGCAGTCACCCCCAGCCCTCCTGGGGACAGCCAGAGGCAGCCCCGGGCACCACAGCGGAGAGGGCTCCCATCGCACCCCCTGGGCACAGCCCTGCCTGCCTGCCCAGCCAGCGCTTTGGAGAACAGCAAAGGAAAACAGCTTCTGTCCTCCTCTGCATCAGTTTGCAGGACAGAGAGGCAACATTTGGGGAAAAGGGCCGGTGCACATCGCCTCTTGGGGAGGCTCCGCACCGAGCGGGGCGGACTGATGCCACCGAGGAGCTGGGCAAGCTCTGCTGCTGCCTCGCAGAGCAGCTGGGCTCCTTGTGCCCACTGGCCGGCCAGGGCACACTGCATCACTGCCTGGCATTTCAGGGGTGCTTACGGCGGGCAGAGCGTCCAGGCCGGCTCTTTGCTCCCCTCTAGTGCCCGTGCCAGAGTGCTGGGTTACAAAGCAGTGGCTGCAGTCGCTGCTCAGGATACAGGAGGACCCAGTGGAAGTGCCCCCAACGCCCATGCCAGGCCACTCACCAGCCCGTTCTGGAGCATGGCCGCGGGYGGGGAGGTGCTGCGTGTCTGCGGGCCGGCCGCTCTGCCTCCTCTGCGAACAGGAGAGGAGCAGGGCTACTGTCAGCGAGGGAGCCCGGGGCCAGGCGCGCGTGCAGGGAGCCGGGAGCTGCCGCTCCTGCCACCCGAGGGCAGCCGGGCAGAGCCGGTGGTGCCCAGAGCTGGCGCTGCTGCTGCTGCTCTACCTGGCAGGGGCCGGAGCAGAGGGGCTCTCCGCCGGCCGCGAAGCTCCGCTGCCCGACGCAGGGGCTGCCTGGGAAGAGGACGCCTCGGCTCGCGCAACTGCAGCGTGTCTAGGACAGACAGCACATCCCTGAGCAACTGCGTTATCCCCCTGGGCGCCAAATACCCGGGGAGCCCGGGTAGATGGGGCTGGATAATACACCACACTGGCATCTCCAGCTGCCAGCCTCTCCTCCCAACAGCTCAGGAGGGACAAGGATGCAGCGGTGCCAACAAGCGGCTAGAGGTAGGAAGGGATCCGCTTCCWCCCTGCCTCACATCTGACGAGCCCGGCCCTGTCCTGCCAGCCCCTCACCCGGCTTTGGAGAGGGGCCGCCCTGCCCCGCTGCAGTCATGGTCCAGGGGATGACGGTGCTTGAGACAGTAGTTCTTGTGGCACTGGTCACAGATCACCTTCATCATCTCCTTCTGCTTGCAGCCCGGCTTCAGACACTTGTTGGTGAAAATCTGGATGCAGACGTGGTGGCAGTGACAAGGGACACAGCCCACAGGGGCTGGGGCCACCCCTTCCTCTCCCACCCGGCCGAGCCCTTGGCATCAAGCAGCTCCCACCACTGCCGCCTCTGCAGAGCTCTCAAGTTTGAGTTTCTTTAGGTAATTCATTAATGACCCTGCAGTGCCTCTGCCCTCACAGAGCGGCTTCCCCAGGGACACAGAGCTTCCAGGAGTGACGGCGCCTTGCTCGCGGCCTCCTGCCCATGGCATAGCAGGGCTGCTCGCGGGCCCCGCAGGACGGTGCCGGGGCACCAAGGGCCCCGCAGCTCTCCCCTCTTCCTGGCAAGAGGGCACTGCTGATTGCCAAGTGCATCTAACAGCAGGGTGCCATTGCTGAATGTCACCCGGCCTTCCCTGTGCCCGGTGTGTGGCCACCTCAGCACCCTGCAGCCCAGCCCAGCCCARCGCAGCGCCCTTCCCGCGGCGCTCACTGGGCTCCTCGGCTCGTGCCTGCCCTCGGCCCCTACCTTGCGCTTGCGCTGCGCGGGGTCGGACTTGCAGTCGCGGTCRATGTGCTCCCCCACGACGGCATCGGGCATCTGCCCGCGCCGCACGGGCACCGGCGTGTTGCAGAGCGGGCACACGGGGACCTGCACGTCCTGCGGGGCGAGGACGGGCAGCTGTGGCAGCAGCTGACGCCTCGTGGGGCTCTGCTACCAGCTCTCTGCCTCGCGGGGGTGCCCGCCACGGCTCCCGCAGCTCTACCAGTCCTCGCGGATCCCCGCTACCTTCCCGCAGCGCCCAGGCTCACTGCACCAGCACGTGCCCTAGGGAGGGCAGGGCGATGCCCAAGCCCATGCAGCAGGGCGCAGGGCGC